CCGCGCGCCGCTCGCGGCCGGCGCTACTTCCTCTTAAAGGAGCCGCCCCCGCCTGCGCCGGCCCCGCCCACGGGAGGGAGCGGCAGGGACGGGCTGGGGAAGGGGAAAGGCGCAGGGGATGATGGGGGGGGGACGACAGTTCGTGTTTTATCGTATTTTAAAAATTTTATTATCGTTTATTTTACTCTATGTTATTTTATTCTATTTCAATGTTTTATTCTACGTATCTGAATTCCTTTTATTCTATTTTATTTTCTTTTATTCGATTTTCTTTCATTTTCTATTTTATTTTTCTACTTTATTTTGTTTTCTATTTTATCCTTATTTTATTTGCTATTTTATCTTAATTTTATTTTATTTTCTAGTTCATCTTTTTATATTCTATTTTATTTTTATGCTATTTTAATATTCTATTTGCTTTTGTTTTCAATTTTCTTGTATTTATTTTATTTTTGTTTTCTTCAATTATTTTCTTTAATTCTATTTATTTATTTTCGTAATTGCATTTATTGTTTCATTTCATTCCATTCCAGTTATTTCCCTCTCTTCCATTTTATTAATTTTCTTCTATTCTGTTTTATTTATTTGCTTCTTTTAAATTTATTTTCCCGTTTTGTTCTGCTCCGTTTGTTTTATTTCCCTTTATTCCATGTTTGTGTTTCCGGGAGCAGGGATGCTCAGGGGGCTCCGAGGGGCTGCAGGGCATTGCTCCAGTGGGGGAAGCTGGAGGGACCTGCCCAGATCCCACCTTTAAGGTCACAAAAAGGGGAAGTGGCCAGAAGCAGCCCAGGTTCAAAGGGAACAAACGTCAAACCCGGCAGGGAAATTCCTGGGCAGCCCAAAATCAAAGGGTACCAAAAGCTGAAGCAGAGCCTGCAGAGCTCCCGCCCCACGGGGGCTTTCCCAACACTCCTGGCTGGAGCCCGGAGTTCTCCATCGCAGGTGCCCCCCAATCTCTGCAGCCCCCAGTTCCTCCCCCGGCTGTTCACAGCCCGTCCCCGGCCCAGTTGAGCCGCAGCACCTGGGCTGAAGCCTCAGCTCCTCGGGGCTGTCCCTGCTGGAGCTGGCCCCGGCTCCTGGCTCCCGCTCCCGGGAACAGCCGGGCCCTGCTCCCGCTCCCGGGAACAGCCGGGCCCTGCTCCCGCTCCCGGAACAGCCGGGCCCTGCTCCCGCTCCCGGAAAGAGCCGGGCCCTGCTCCCGCTCCCGGAAACAGCCGGGCCCTGCTCCCGCAGCCGCGGGGCCGCTCTGCCTGCATCCCCCCACAGATGATGCTCTGCCCCAGGGCAGGAGCCTGTGCCAGCTTCGTGGGCAGCTCCCGCTCACAGAACCACGGAAGGGAGGTTGGGAAGCACCATTGGAGCTCACCGGGCTCAGCAGGGGCCCCAAAGCACATCAGGATAATGTCCCGACGGCTTTTGAGGATCTCCAGGGACGGTGACTCCACCATGTCTCTGGGCAGCCTGTGCCAGCGCTCAGTCACACGCAGGGCAAAGTTCCTACCCTGCTCAGGTGGAATTTCCTGTGTTCCAGTTTCTTCCCATTAACTCTGGTCCTGCTGCTTAGCCCCGGCCTCTGATACCTCCAGGCACTTTATAAGGTATATATCCATATATATAATATACATATATCCATGTTGTCTATATTGCTATCCATCTTTGCTCTTCCCCCTGCCCCCGCAGCCTTTCTCCATCCCCTCATCATCATCCTCACAGCCCTGGACAGACCCCACACCAGCAGCTCCAGCTCTGCTCCAGAGGAGCCCAGAACTGGACACAGCACTGCAGGGCAGAGGAAGGGGCAGGATCAGCTCCCAGCCCACCCCAGTTCAGCTCCTGTGGCTCATTTAACACTTGAGGTTTGCTCCAGGCACTTCCTTGCTTTTGTTTCTATCCTGTTCCATCAGATTTGTGCAGTCCCAACCCATGGCAGGTCCATGTGGGGTTGCAGCACTGAGAACAGAGGACCTGGATCCTTCCTGAGCAGCGTCTGCCAGCAATGGGTCCACCAAGGTACTGGGCAATTCCCAGTGAAGAACTGCTGGCTCCTGACTCTCAGCCCCAGGGATTTTCTATCCCAAGGTGATTCTCACCAGTTCTGGTGTGACTGGAAACCACTGGGGCATCAGCCAAGCCAAGGCCTCATTCCTGCTGTGGCAGGACAGGTATTAATCCTCATCTCAATGTCACCACGTTTGTCACAAATGTCACTGGAGGCCAACAGGAAGCAACAGCAGGGGCTGATTCCAGCCTCATTCTGACCAGAGCTCCCACTTTCCCAAGTGTTGGGTTTTAGCTGCAATCACAATCCAAAAAATAAAACAATTAATGGAGATTTAACTGAGACAGTCTGAACGATTTTTTCCTGTAATTTCAGTCTTAGTGATAGCTGGTGTTGCAGAGCTGCCTTTCAAAGGGGTGCCATTAGGAATTCTCAACCTTCTTTTGCCAGGAGATTCCTCTTACCTCCACTGGAGACACAATGTTCAGCCCTGGGGTAAATCCATGCCTTGATTTTGGGTCCATCCAAACTGGAACAGTCTTATGAAAGGACCACTTACAAAGCCAAAAATTTAACTTTGTTTTGAAAGTTTATTGGATCATCTTGACACAAAATCATTACAGCAGCTTGTGGTATGTTGCTTTCTTTTTCTTTTTTTTGTTTTTTTTTTGTTTTTTTTTTCCAGGGAATGTTGATAGCAAATAAATTTGTGAATGTAACACATCATACAGTTTCAAAATTCTAGAATCACTGCACAGGATTCTGTAAGAGACTCTACATGCTAAAGTGACAGTTTTCATCCATGAATTAAAAAACCCAAACACTAATTGAGGAACATTATCCTTTAAGACAATTTTAATATGTTCAGTTTCTAATACACAACTGGCTAACCAAGGGAGGCTGACCAAAACCAAACCCTCCACGTCCTGGCAGCGCTGTCGGACACGGAGCTGGGCCTGGCAAGGAACCCAGAGCACCAGAGCAGAGCCTTTGCCAAAATACCTCCTGTGGGAAGAGTGTAAAGAGCACAAGACACGCGTAAAGTACAGGACATCACCCAAGGGATAAGACCAACACTTTATCCTGCTCCCTGCGTAGGGATTTGCTGTTTTAGGAGTGGTGGTGGTGCTGGAGATGTGCAGACCCAGCCAGCTCCTCCCTGGGCACCTTTTTGGAGCAATCAACTGCTCCTGACCCATGCCTCGAAGCAAAACTGTTCCACAGAATTTTCCTCACTGGGTGTGGAACAGCGAGGAAAGAAATGGAGCAAAGGGAATAAAAAAAAAGTTTAAAGCAAGGGATGTTGGAGAAAGACATCAACTGAGCATCTCTGCAGGACCCCGTGGCATCCTTTTCCTGTTAGTGACTCCACAAGATTCCAATAGTGCAGAATGGGCACCTCCCAGACTCTCCTTTCTTCCCTCTAAAGCAACTGCTATAGTCCCAAATCTGCAGCTCCCCAGCCCCCTCCCCCTCCTGCACCCCAGTAGGGTGAGGGGATCCTCACTCCATCCCCTCCTGCACCCTGGCAGGGAGAGGGGATCCTCACTCCATCCCCTCCTGCACCCTGGCAGGGAGAGGGGATCCTCATCCCTCCTCCCTCCTGCATCTGGGTCAGGGGCTCCCCAGCCACTTCCCCTCCTGCACCCTGGCAGGGTGAGGGGCTCCCAATCCATCCCTCTCTCCTGCACCCCAGCAGGGAGGGCTCTGCCACAGGGACCCAGGGGCACTTGTGCTGCCAAATCTGCTCTCACTGCAGCAAGGGCAGGGCTGAGGGACACTGAGGGGACACACAGACAGAATGACCCTGCTGGTTTCAGAACCCAGAGGGAGGACACGGACCTGCACACAAGAGGCTGCACCCATGGCTGTTTTTCTACCTGGCAATGGTCAACCTCAGCTGGTGAGCAAAAGGATAAAAAAGCAGGAACAGACCCCTTTGGATTTCCAGTTTCTTGCTACAGCTTAACTGTTCAGGAATGTGAAATTGAAGTGGACTCATAAAACACATCAGCAGATACAGCTCAAAGGGGAGAGGCCTGACAGATTCCGTGTGTGGGGCAGTCGAGGGGAGCACAGACCCAAACAGTAACTTTCAGACCATTTCATGCTTCCACACTCGACTCTTCCAGCTGTCACTAAAAGAAGGTTAAGGCTCAAGGCAACTACTATAAACAGAAACTCAAACATCCCAGTTCTCACAGGGCTCCTTTGGATTAGCTCAAGGAGATGGAGGATGTTTATCTGCTGATCACAATAGATCTTGAGATAATAATAAATCATATATATATATAAAAAAAACCCAAAAAGAGGCCTTCTGGTCCAGCACCAGCCTCTACTAGAAATATACATCAACTGCAGCAGCCCTGAAGACATATTTCATGGCTAAGGATTAAGTCAACCTTCCCTGGCATAAGCACAAGCAACAAACTGTGCTACTGTTGATAAAGTCCTGCTCAGTTCCCATCCCACACAGATGAAGGTCATGGGATCATCATGAGCTGCTGAATAAATAGTGCCCGCCCCTCCCTCCCTCCCTCCTCCCCTCCCTCCTCCAGTCATGTCACCAGGATCTCTTTGGGCTAGAAAGGGTTAACACCACAGTTTGTAAAAAGTTCTGAAAATAAAAAGGTAACATACAGCCTTAAAATGTCTAAACTGCAACCAATGGTGGAGTTAACTGAAAGCACGTGCCCCAGGGTAGTACATGCGTACGAGGGAGAAACTTAACACTTGGGTCTGCTCGTCTTTACACGTTGGGTGTGTTTCTGGTCGTTGGAATATTTTATAAGGAATATTCAGCACTTGGACAATGTCTCTTTCATCTCATCCAACAAGTTGCTAAGCAGGGTAGAATCATTGCATTTCCCATCTATGGATACAGAGTTCTCTCCCTTGGAAAGAAAAAAAAAAAAAAAAAAAAAAGAAAAAATCCATTAGGTCCTCTTCCAAGAGGGGATAAATGTATTCCCAGCCAAACTCGGGAACTGGGAAGAGGCAGAGGAAAGCAGGAAAGGCTCCAGGTTTACATTCTCTCAGGGGTTACAATGTTCTCACCTTTTTTACCAGTAGGCAGACGTGATGGCCTTGGATAGAACGGCTGTACATGGATGCACACGAATCAACACGTTCCACAACTGCAGAGAAACAGCAATTTCATTTCATTCAATTCAATTTTAATTCAAGCCTTGCTTCCCCTGGAGAGCAACCACTGCTCTGCCTGGCCTCGAGGAACAGAGGCTTCTACAGAGGGGAGGAAGAAGTCAGGGTTAAGATGTGCCTGGCTCCTCCTGGCTTCTCTCTGGGACATTTCACAATAACGAGGTGAGTCATTTGTCTCCTAAGCCACAAATGTTCTGTGGCAAAAACACAGCTCAGAATGTAGATTTCTTCCCCAGAAATACTTCCAGTGAGGCAATGTCTAATGCAAACACCAGAGCATGATGAAACAGACAGTTGTTTTGCTTCAGCCAGTGCTTGTGTTTTAATTAATAAACCCAAACCTAAATAGTTGGGGCTCTCCCTCACTGAAACAAAGCACTGGGGAAGGAGTCTGAAGCCCTGCAGATCAAACCCACCCTCCAGAGAACAGTTACAGACTGAACTCCACACCATCTGCTCCCATGATACCTGTCACATGCCTCACTGGGTTGCAGGAATCCACAGGGACACAAGGAGAATTCATTTTGCAGAACACTGCATGCTTTGATGTTGCAAAACTGGAGAAAACTCTCACAAATGTATTTAATCTGGACATCTCCTGCTCCTGTGATAGCTGAGCCCATGGAGTGTTGTGCTCACCAAGCACAGCAGAGATTTCAGAACAGAGTTCTGCAGAAAGTTCTGCATCAAGGAAGACTCACCTGAAAAATGATGATGAAAACAGATCTTTGCCAGTAGATGTTGGAAAGAAATGCTAATTCCATCTACTTTAATAGAATTCATGTGCAGATCTCCAGACTCTAGGAGCTTGGCAAAAGCATCACTGCAGAACAGGAAGGAAAGTAAATGTTTTATTAGAAGTGCAAGTGAAATCTGTCCCATCAGCCCCATGAAACATGTCAGGATACAGAAGCTAAAGTGCTACCAAGCTCTAGGAAAACGGGTTTACAGCAAGTATGGAAACCACACTCCAGAGTCCACTGGAGCAACTTGTGCCCTCTTGCTGCCAGAGCTGCCTCTGCCAGCCCGCAGGGCACAGAGCTCCCCCTGCAGAGCCACTTGAAATAGGTCACTGCACATATCTGACAGTCACCCCGTACAGACTGCCCAAACCCTGGGGAGCAGGCAGAGCTCAGCCTGCCAGGGGCAGCACAGGCACTCACCTGTAGCAAGGCGTCGTGATCAAGTATGAAGCGCAACTGAAGTGCAATTTGAAATCTAGTTTTTCATGGGTTGAACCTTCATCATTCTGCAACAGGGCAAAGGAGTGCACATGAGTGGGAGCCCTGAGGCAGCAAGAGGAGGAGCCACCCCTACCCACCACACAGGCAGCAGTGAGGAGCTGAGGGCTGAGTTCCCTCTGAAACAGCCTGGCTGGGCCTGAAGGATCAGTCTGAGAACCATCCCACCACATCAGCCCACTCAAAGATTTGGGTAGCTGGGTTGATACTAGCATCTCCAACAGGTAAGGGACACATCAGGCTGCAGTTCTACCTGCACTCTGCTAAAATAAACTGAGCAGACTGAGTTTAAACTACACTTGGAGATGTGGTTCTGTAGTTCATTATTTCCTGAGCAAAATATTAAATTAATAGTTCCCAGATTCTTAGGTACTAAAATAGGACTAGCATGCTATTTTTAAAAAACCCTTAAAATAGAGATAATGGCTGACTCAGGAGTAGCCACAACTGTCTCCACTCATTTCCTTCGAGCTGCTCATGCAGCTCTTTCATTAATAACTGTACTGAAATAACATCAGAGATCTACACAGTCTTATCCAGCTCAATACCTATTAAACAATGCTTTCCATTGACCTAACTCTTGGTCTGGATTTCCACTCTTAATAACCACATCTAATTCTTATTTTTGTTTTCCAGCCTTATACCAGACTGCAGTGTCCAACTGAGATGCGAAGGAGCAGACCCTGGTTCCCTCTCTCCCCTCCCCAGCAGAGCAGTGTGATTTTCTAGCTGACAATGTGGCACATGTTGCAGACTTGCTCACACGCTGCCAGGAATGACAATCCAGGACGTGCTGACGCAGGACTGGGGGCACTCTTTGCACAAGATGTCATGTGAAAACGTTCCTCACAGAATGGGCTGCTGCAGCAGGGATGAAATGATGCCTAAAAAAAGCTCGAGAGCAGAGCTTCCCACCCGAGTCCAGCTCCCTGACGCAGTTCCAAGGAAGCAGAGGCAGTTGAGAGCTGCACTTACTTTGACTATAAAGGACAGTGTTCCTTTTAACTTCTGAGCCATAACAATACTCTGAAGTGTAAACACAAACTGGGCTTCATTAGAGATTCCTAGTGTGAAAAGAAGAGAGGGAAAAGTCAGGTCAGAACATGGTTTCCAGATCTAAGTAATGGTTAGGATAAACTGACTTATGTGCAGACTATTTTTGAACCAAGTTTGAAAAGCTTTGATTTGGAAGAGAGTTCTACACACAACTGCTATGGTGAGTCAACAATGTTACAGTACTTGGATCTCTCAGAAGCAGCAATGGAAGTTGGCATTTGGTGGAAGTTATTGAGCAAGTGCCCAGGCAAAGTGTCACAGTGTCACATATTTAAACTATTCACATAACTGGATTTATATTATAAACATTTCAGAGTAGCTTTCAGAGCTAATTTGAATTCTAATGTTTCTATATTTTCTTTTTAATATACAAGTCTGTGTCAAGAACTGCCTCATACAGATTTAAGACCAAATCAAACACCCTACTGCTTTTCATGAGGGACTGTAAAGCACCCTGAGGCCACTCCAGCCCTCTGGGACCTGTTTCAGGATTCAAATTAACTCCTCAGTGAAGGAAGGGAAATTCAGGGAAGTTCACTGATTTGACTGTACTACTGTGCTCTGTACAAAACTATTATCCTTCATTTCTGTGCTTAATATTTCTGGAGGGCTGAGCTCTCCTCCTTGCACATCCTTAGCACAAACCTTCACTGCAAAAGGCCTCTGCCATTCAGACAGTGGGACAAGAGCTCCAGAATAAATCCAGCGTGGATTCTAATGCTTCACAAACCTACTACCTTGTTTCATTTTAAATCTCACAGCAAACACATCATGAATTTTGGATTCCTGTAGTCAAAGGTATGCCAGCCTGCAGGCACCTGGAAAAGGAACTCAGATATTTGGACTCCCAGCCCTAGATTAAGGCTTTGCTCTTGCTGTGCAGAACCACCTGCATTACTGGGAGAAGGCTTATCCTCCACAGGAATCTGTGGGAAAGCCCAGGAACACCCAGGCAGAGATGTTTTTCTGGAAAACAGCAAGAAGTTCAAGCAGCTCTTCCCACAGGAGGGCAGTGCAGGGCCAGCCATGCTCCAAGAGCCCTGTGCAAAGCTGTGCATACCAGGGGGGAGCTGGAAGGGCACGGGTATCCCATCATGTACTGATGATCCTTCTGGTCGGAGCATTTTAGTGTTGAGAGAGTCCAGGACATTCAGTTCCATGCTCTTAAGGAAGCTAGTGCTTTTGTTCTCAAAGATAACAGACACAGTAACTTGGCTGTCATTCTGGAGGTTTCCTTGAATATCATAGGTCTGCAAATGAAGGGAAAAATGTCACAGGAAAGAATCAGAGGAACTTCAAGGAGGAGAAGACAACATGAGGGGAAAACCAGGTTCAAAAGGGAGGTAATTTGGTATAGCTAGAGGATTATGGAAACACACTGGTGATCATCTAGGGATTGGGAAAATATCAGCTTAGAAATTAAAGTGGAATACCCAAAGGAAATGAAGCTTGGTTATAGTTCTACCTTCTGGGATTGAAACAGTTCTTCAGTTATATGATGGCTACATGAAGTCACTCCACCATGCCCAGGGTTATCCCTCTCTCAGGGAACACAGGGAATGACATTTGGAACAAACACCCCAAACTCACCATTTTAATGTACGGGTTTTCAGCGAGAAGGCGGTAACTGGACATGGGCTGGTAAACAAGAGAGAAGTCACAGTCACACCAGAACTAACAACTCTGAAAAGGGCTGTCATTGTCCTCCCTCCCAACCAGCTGAGATCTCCTTGTCCCCAGGCCTGGGCACAGCTACTCACTGGTAGTGGCTCATCCTCTAGTGTCCCATTCTGCACCGACTCCAGGGGCTCCTCCTCACTGTGATGAGTCTTCTTTTTGGATTTCTTTTTATCCTTTGATTTCTCTTCTTTCTCTTTCTTGTGCTTTTTCTTCTTATGCTTGGAGGATTTCTATCAAGAAGAACAATAAACTACAAAAGGCCCTTAAAGAAACCCTTGATTTCTAGCCATGACCCCTCTACCACACTTCCAGCTCCAGACTTTTGCTCTCTGCACTTTGTGGACTGAGCAAAGTTTCCCTTTACTACAGCACCCAAAACAGAGCTACCATCCCTTAAATCCCAAAACTAATTGTACATGGAGTCCCAGTAAACCCTGCTCCTCACCCAGCTGCCCATACCTTATCACAAAGCAGCCTGGGAACAGCACAAGGCCAAATCTCTCAAACTGTTTGGAAGCTCAGCTTTAACTGGGACCTGTCCCTTGGCTCAGGGAACAACCAAACCTCTGACCACAAGGTGTTCACAGCTTCTCAAGGATGTAACATTTGCAGGAGGACACTGCACTGGACAGGTGCTGTTGGTAAATCCTGTGTGCTGCTTTTTAAGGAATTTGAGACAGCAGGAGAATATGCCTGAAAGGTGACAGCAAGTTCATAGAACCAGAGAATTGTGAAGGTTGGCAAAGATCTTTAATGTCATCAGGTCCAACCATCAGCCCAGCACCACCACGTCCATCACTAAACCGTGTCCACAAGTGCCACATCCACAGGTTTTCTGTACACTTACAGGGACTCCACTACTGCCCTGGGCAGCCTGTTCCAATGCCTGACAATCCTTTCCATTAAAAATAAAAATTAAAAAAAAACAAAAACAACTTTCCTAATATCTTATCTAAGCCTCCCCTGGTGTAACTTGAGGCAATTTCCTCTTAACTTGAACTGCTTACCTTTCCTTCATCCTCCTCCTCCTCATCTTGCTCTTCCCTTTCTTCTTTTTTTACCTCTTGGGATTCAGCCACCACAGCAGTGCCCATTCTGGGCTCGCTCTGAGGAGAAGAGCAGAAGGATTCTGACACCAATGGAAAGCAGCTGGAACAACCGAATCCCACACCAAAAGAAACTCAACAGTGACAACTCCTCACAGCTGTTATTTCAGAAATGACATTAGGCTAACATGGTATCAGGGCTTTCATTTCATGCCTCTGAAACCCAGCAAATATGATCACCTGAGGACACGATTCAAAAGATTTTCTCCAAGGAATCCATCCCCTTATATTCCTTGTCTCTTCCTCTAGAATTTCCCATCAAAATTCATGAGAATTTTCTTTCACACTCTGTCTCTCATGTCTATTAATGTTGCTAGAGTCTACCTCATACTGGGAAATAAAATTGTACCCACTGTATAACATTATACCTATCAATAACAAAACCAGCCAAGCCTGGAGCTGCATCTGTATTTCTATTTCTATTCCTTGATCTGCACAGAACAAGCCTGAAGTCTCCCATCACAGTTTCTTTCAACTGGGCAGACACAATATCTCTCTCTGCTCCCCAGCAGGAAGCTGAGGAGATGAAGCTGATGTTGTCTCCTGTGCTGCAGCATGACACAGCACTCCTGCACAGCTCACAGGCAAGAAATAACCAGAGAAGTTTCCTCTGATGGGGGAAAAGATTCCTACCTGTGGCTGGGGCATGGGAGCATCTGGTGGAGCAGTGGAGAGCCAGAAATCCAAGTCTTCCCCCTGAATTTCAGGAGAAAAAGCCCATTATCATTGTTTTTATAACATTCTTAAAAATCAGATAAAAAACCCAACATCCCCCAACAACAACAGCAATAAAAGAAAACCAAAACAAAAAGATCACAGGGCTGGAACATCTGTCCTGTGAGGAAGGGCTGGGAGAGCTGGGGGTGCTCACCTGGAGAAGAGAAGGCTCCAGGGAAAGCTCAGAGCCCCTTGCAGGGCCTAAAGGGGCTCCAGGAGAGCTGGAGAAGGACTGGGGACAAGGCCTGCAGGGACAGGACACAGGGAATGGCTCCCAGTGCCAGAGGGCAGGGCTGGATGGGATATTGGGAAGGAATTGTTGGCTGGGAGGGTGGGCAGGCCCTGGCACAGGGTGCCCAGAGCAGCTGGGGCTGCCCCTGGATCCCTGGCAGTGTCCAAGGCCAGGCTGGACGGGGCTTGGAGCAGCCTGGGATGGTGGAAGGTGTCCCTGCCATGGCAGAGGGTGGGGCTGGATAAGCTTTAAGGTTCCTTTGAACCCAAACCAGTTTGGCATTCTGTGACTCTACAGTTAAATCAAAACCTCCCATGCAAATGCAGCACTCCAGAATGCTCTTCATGCACAGATGCTGTGATACATTCAGGAGCAAACACACCAAGAAGCTTCACTTTAGTCTTTGAGCACTTCCAAAGCTGGGCCCAGCTGACAGCACCTGCCCTGCACCCCTCACCAGGGTATCCCTGACATTCCAAGGGAATCCCTCTGCAGTGCAGAGGGAAAATGCAGCTCTGCAGGGCATTAACAGGAGGATACTTCAAATCCTGAGAGCAACTGGCAGCTAATGGCAGGGTTTATAACTGAAAGGTTCTGGACTACATGGGAGACAGGATGCAGAACAAATGACACAACACAAGTTCCAGATATTTTGCTAAGGAGTTCCCCACTTGGAGAACAGACAAAATATCAGCAAACTCAGCTTCCATGTGAGCTCTGGCAGACCTGCTGTGTAGGCTGCAGTAAGCTGAGTTCTGCTAACTTAGGAGGCCAAATAAATGTTATTTTTATTAACAGAAATCTTTAAATACCTGCTGCTATGGTTGTAAAACTTAAGGAAATAAGAGGTTGAATGCATTCAGCTGTTTGAACTGTCAAATGCAACTGTTCCTAAGCAACAAACTGAACTCAGCAATAACAGCAGGAGCTAAAATAATGCAAATCTTGAAGAATTACCTTTTTTTCTTCTTCTTCCTCCTCTACCACCTTTTTCTCTTTCTCTTTCTTCTTTCCTTTCTCTCTCTCTTTATCTTTATGTTTCTTTTCCTTCTTTTTGGGTTTCTTGCTCTTCTTCTCTACTAGGGGAACTTCTGAGTCTGGTGACTTCAGGGCCTCAACATTCCTGTGCCTCTGCACTGGCAGCTTCTCACTGTCTGCTAAGGGTCTTGAAAAGAAAGAGCCCATTACCTGCTGCAAACAGCCTCCCTCAGCCAGATGACCTGTGCAATACAAGGTGTGCTTTGTTTTCAGGGAGCTGGGCCCCCAAGCCTGAAATCAGCACATACGTCTATACCTGGAGTTTATTTATGCAACTGTAACTGCAGACATTGCCCCTGTGGGTTAGGAGTCAGAGGAAACAATTGGAAGGTGACTGAGAGCCAAGGTCTTGCTGTTTAACCCTTAGAGGTGCCAGCTAGAGGCCTGCAGGCTGAGTAACACCCACAGAGGAACAGCTCCATGTAGTGTTATGCTGCGTTTCCATGGAATCCCTCTCCAAGAAAAAGCAAGGATGCAGAACAGCATTTCCAACAGAGTGGAAATTTGAGCAGTGGAATGCCAGCATGGCTCCAGTAGCTCTTGAAGGGTGTGGGGTTTGTTGATCTTGATGAATAGATCAGTCCAATTGGGAATTACTCTAAGTCATTTTTATTTTGAAAGTTTGCACTATGAATTTCTACTCTATTATCACATTTTATAAGTTAAATGTAACTTCAGACACCTGTTCCAAAAAAGCACCAATAGCAGTTCATATTAACACTGTACCCTAAATCCACTACTTGGGGGGAAAAAAAACCCAAAAACCGACAGAAAAGTCTCTCGTTCTTGTCAAACATTTCCAGAAATCAGCAAGAACTTTAGCAACTGCATCTTTTTCTATTTCTTAGCTTTTATTTAATGTCAATTTTTACATTTGCACAGCAAACTCAGTTCAGGAAGATGTCTAATGGCCTCAACTGCCCCAATTTTTTTTTTGCTTATATTGCATTAAGAACTAGAACCAATTAATTTTTTACTTTCAGACACAAAGAGAAGACTGAACAGCAAACAAGGCCTCATCTTTTACTATTTCAGGTACACCTGTACAGGAACAGCATTGGTGCTGAAAGCCAGTGACAAAACAGACTCACAAATGTGAGGGTCTCTGATTTAACAGCTTCACCACCCTTCAAGGACTTGCACTGTCCAAAATCAATCAACCTGACAAAGGTCAACACTCGGGAGATATTCTTACCTGGAAGGCTTCCCTGAAACCAGACTGCGTGTGAGCGTGACAGACAGAGCAGTGCAAGCACAGAAAGAAAGAGAGAGGACACAGACATGAGAAATCATGAGAGGAGAGCACAGCACTCATGGCACAGGGGAGGGAATGGATGGAACAACCCAAGAGCCCTGGATGCCTCCTGGAGCACAGCACCCAGGCCCTGCTCTGTTGGGTGTGCTCTGAGAATCATCATGCAAATACAGGGGCTACAGTCAGAAATTAATTTCCTTTTATACATTTGTCCCTGCAGACTTTGGCCTTCCAAAAAAGGAATTTTCTCAAAAACTTCCTTTCTGAATAAAGTGAAAGTTTTATTCACTTTTTTAAAATGCTATGACACTTTTTACAACATATTGAGGGGCCAAAGCCCTATAAATTTGGAACTGCAAAGAAAGGCACAGACTGAAGTATTAGAGGAAGAGAGAGATCCTACACACACCCACATGGGTCTGCACAGTCTTCCACACTTTACAGGAGGCATCCCTGGACCACAAACCAGCAATTATTTTTAGCATGGTGATTTTGTAAAACAGCAACTAAAAAAAAAAAATCCAAAGCAATCTCCATGTGCAAACTGAACAGCCCAGTGCTCATGGACATGTGGATGCAGGGGCTTGAGGTGCTGGCACTGGCACAGCTCCAGCAGCTGGGGGGGACCAGCCTGGTCACAGGTGTGACATGCAGCTCAGTCACATCAGAACAAGACTGCTCAACAGTGGGACCACACTGAAGGGCCACAGGGCAGTGGAGTGGGTGTTACTGGTCAGTGATCACAACACAGGCTTGCCACAGACACAGAGATTCTGAGGGGGACAGATGGACACAGGACACACTCAGTGCCAACACAGATCACAGCAGAGAGACAGTGGGACACCCAAACCTCAGAGTGACCCACACCTGATCCACTGGCTGTGCTTCCAGACTCCTTCAGTCACACTCACACTACATTTAGTGACTCTCCTGCCCCTCCCTCATACTCAGGAGTTGAGATTTTATCATCCAAGCTGTAGTGGGAGACAAAGCTGGATGAGCACCTGAGGTTTCATCAAAGCCATGATGAGAGACTTCAGCCTTTTCCCCTGGTAGCCTGTAGTGCCTTTGCCTGCTCAACCCCAGCCTTGCCCTCAGGCATTCCCTTAGCAACTCAGTGAACTCACACACAAAACTGCCACTTACTTATCCAGATCTATGTCAAGTGCCTTATAGGGATCATTTGGATCTTTGTCATCTTCATCACTGGGCAAAGCATTCTGCAGGAGACATAGAGACATCCACTGAGGCAGCAAACCACTGGCAATTTTCAAACTCAAGCTTAACACCACCCAAATTAAGTTTTGTTAAGCCTGTGAACCCTGCACCAGGCCAGCTGCAGTCAGGCACAGTAAGTTATAGGAACAATGCACTTCAATGCAGCATCCAGTTTCAAGATTAATTTAGAACAGAAACCCCTTCTTCATAAACAGCAGGATTTGAATTGCTGCTGTTCAGTTTTGATTAAAGGAAATTTTAGAAACAAATACAGATGACATCATTAGCATCTGCAATTAATTATCATCAGCTACAAAGCTGCTGACTAGACAGCAAGTTACTGTCAAGGTGAAGCAGCAGAGCATAATAAATGCTATTTGGACAGTGTTACTTTTAGAGCAGGGATGAACATTGTTTTGTTGGTTTTGATGTCTTTAATAGCTTCAGTGGCAATTTTTGTCTCTCATGAAAAAAAAGACAGTAATTTCTGCCCCTGCAAAAACAGCCTGGGATCATCTCAGTCATTTCTAAAATAGCTCTGCAAGACAGCAGAGCTCTGGAACTGCCACACTGCAGACTGGCTGCAGTTGTGGGGGCAAAAATCTCTCAGGAGCTGCACAAAGATAAATCCCAGCCCCCAACCACAGGAACTGACCTCTGGCATCTCCTCTGTGATGATGTCAACGTGGTGAGCTGGTGCAATGTCCTCCTCACTCTCTGTGTGCAGGGAGTTGTGGCGATGGTGTTTCCCTCTCTTCTCCTTTTTCTGTTTTTTCTTTTTCTTGTCTTTCTCCAGTTTCTGTTTATGCCTTCGCTCTTCTTCTAATTTCACATACTGGTCGGACATGGGCATTCCTGGGGGAAAGCCAAGCTGCTTTCAGGTACAGTCACATGGACTGAGCACTAGAACACCATGCCAGGAGTGTGCCCTGCTCCTGCTCCCAGCTTCCCAGAGCCAGCTGGATCCACACCTCCCTGCACTTCCACATCACCTCACACAGCCCCCCAAGCACAGCTTTGCTGTCCACTCCATTTCTCCAGAAACAGGACAGAGCTCAATCCTACTCCCTGATTCTTGGCTGCATTACTGCAGTACAAGGAGCATCCAAACATTGAGATTTTAAGGAGAATTGGTGACATTGCTGCTGTACTGAAAACTTTTGGAAAAAAACTTAAATATTCGCACCTAGAACTCACCCCTAGCAGTATAAGGTACTTTATCAACAGCTTTTCAGTGCTGTATCCAACCACTCCTTAGATACACAACTACTTTTGATAATTGAAACAAGGTATTCCAACAGTATCTCCACCATTAGATTCTATTTAAGGTCTCCTATTCTAGGTCTCCTGATCACCTCCATCAGACCTCTTAAGATATTTTCATGGTGACTGCTCCCACATAAAACCATAGTTGGTTCTTCTAAACATTACAAATCTGGCTACATGACATTCCTGATCACAGAATTTTTTCTAATATTATCTTGAAAGGAACTCAGACTGCAAAGTACTATGTTCAAATGTCAATTAAGGAGACATATTTAAGACTTTAACTTAAGACTTTAATGAAAGTGTGTTCCTTGCCCTTCAAAACCTCAGGTGGAAGTCCTAAGAAGGAATTATGACTTTTGCTAAACTGAATTTCTTTAATTAATTTCAAAGATTAGCTGTTCTTACCTGGAACTTTTAATGGGACAGAAAGGTCGATCTGGACCACAGGAATATGTTCCACCCCTGGAGTGTCTTGGTATCGCTGGGAAAAGAAAGAATTGTTACATTCTGGGCACTGCCAGCACAAATGTCTGTAAATAGGCACATCAAAAAACATCAAGTAGTTCAATCCCTTAAGTGAACATTTTAAAGGATAGGAATGGAACAGCTTGTTAAAATCCTGTGTGGTGGCAGAGTGTGTTTTAAAGTCAGTTGATAACTATTATAAAGGACCCTACTCTTAGCTACAGTTTTTTAACCCACTACTGCCCTGAGGAATTATTGCAGCTCTCTGAAGAGCTTTTGGTTGGTGTTTTATTGCTAATAACTTGCCACTTCAGAAGATAAATTTGGAGATTAGAGTTGAGGAACATGGGGCAGTACTTTGGATATAGAGGGAACAAAGGAAGTTCTTCCCCTGAAAAAGGTGTTCAGAGACCACAACTTTCTGATCCACAAAGCACTCTGTGTGTTCCAGGGTCACCCTCTGCAGGGCTCTGAGTGAGGTGCCTGGGGGTCTGAATGCTGCCATCACCCAGGGCTGGGACAAACTGCACAGACTCTCACAGGCTGCTCTGGGAGTACCAGGTCACTCAGGAGATTATCAACACAAGCAGGAGTTATAAAAACAGTTGCAGGCAGCCACTCCAGTCCACACATTACAAAGAGGTCAGAACTGCAGGAGAAATATCAGTGTCCCAGAGGAGGCTGCAGCTCTGATATTCAGGGAGCCTCCACACAGTGACAGCAGAGGCCAGTGAGATATTGCATTTCAGACTCACCTTCTGAGGGGAAGGAGAGCTTTTAATATAAAATGGGTTGTTTGCCTGTTCTTGTTTCCGGGCTTCACGACGCTAAAAGCAAAAGAGGATTTGCAGTTACAGTGTTTGTAAGCAAAGAGATAAAAGACACCAAAGTGCAAAACAAAAGCTCCCTGCCTTTTTTGAACAATACATAACTACTCTGAAAACACTTGAGCAGAGTAGCTTGTGTGTGATAAAGCAGTTCTGAGTTACCAGACATACTAGCATAGAACTGTAGGTAGCATTACTAATTCCCATTCCTGGAAGAGTTCAAGGCTGGACAGGGCTTGGAGCAACCTGGCATAGTGGAAGGTGTCTCTGCCCATGGCAGAGGGTCAAATGAGATGAGCTTTAAGGTCCCTTCCAACCCAAGCCATTGTATATGATACTATAACTAAAATTCCTTAGAACACCCTTCTTTTCTTCTTAATTATAGACTAGAGATAGTCTATAGTTCCCAGACATCACTTTTTGATGGCAATTGGAATGTTTCTGTTTTCATTTCTGCAAGGAGAGGAAGAAATGAAAATTCACATAACAACAAGTTCTCTCTGTGCAACCAAAGAGGTCAGAGGCAGGAAAGGTGAGATCACTGCTGAGCATGTTACACTCATTCAAAGAAGCTACTGAAGTCCATAAGCATCAGCTCACATCAGTGATCAGCATTCCTGAGCTGTGGAGAGCAGAGGGGCTTCCTGGCTATGTGGAGAATCCACAACAGCCCCCACTGCTCCAGCACCACTTAGATTACTATTGAATTATGTAGGGAAAAGCATTTTAACATTCACTCACTCTGGCCAGTTCCTCTTCATCTATTTCTGGCTGCCTGTGTCTCGAATGCCTTTGTTCCTCCTCATGAAATATTGTTTTGGGCTTTTCATCTTCAGACTCACTGTCTGATGGAGGCTCATTGATCCAGGCATCGAGGTCCAGGCTGGGAAGAATTGCAGCAAACAAACAGCTTGACTCAGTACCCCTGAGTATTTCAGTGTCTCATCATACACTTTGTTTCATTATTTAAAGTTTAAATAAGGGTTTGGGAGAGAGAAGGAACTTTACCCCTCTGGAACAGGGACTTTCTTCTGTGCTTTAGGAGCCACAGGGTTCAGCTCACCAGCAAACAGGGCTATCACTTCCTCAGCTACAGGAACTTCCTTTGCTTGTAGCTTCTGAATGTATTTTATTAGCTGCAAGATGCAAGAAGCCTAAAAACAAATGCAGAACTGGTTTCAGAGTAGTATTTAACAAGCTGAACCAAATGAATTGACTGAAGTCAACAGAAGGTGTTTTACTCCATTAAGGAAATTAAGAGAAGTAGCATAAACTGCAAGTAAATATATAAAAAGTCCATATTAAGCTTCTCTTTTAGCTCAGTCTTTTTTGTGCCTTTATGTTCCTGAATAATTTTAAAATTAAATTGTTTTGAGTGAAGATCTTGCTGGCAGCCTTCAGAGATGGCATCAAACTGCAATAAGATCTGGGCTTTGTCACTGATAACAGCTTATAGAAAATGTGCATGACCACAAAGAACCACAGACCTGCTCCAAGGCTTCCTATGATAAATCCCAAAGTCATTTCGTTCTCTTACCCTCTCCTGAACCTCCAGATCAGCACTCTGCACAAACTGAGGCAGGCGCTCAATCATCAGCTGTGTAATTTCCTGAGCTGCTTCCTTTTCCCCAGCCTGCTCCTTCTGCTGCAGGATGGACGCATAGAGCTTCACCATGTTCTGCACGTAAACAGCCTGGATGTGTCCTGGCAGGGTTGTAACTTTGGGCCTCAACATTGCTTCCAGGGTTTGGTTTGCTTCCTCAAGGTGTCTGTAAGGACCGAGTACACAGATGAAAGGTAAGCAAAAATAAAATCCAGCAGGCAGTGCTTAATACACAAAGGAATATAGAACACAGCACTTTGTTTTAACAGCTCTCATGCTCTTACTCAAAATTATCTGCTCACAACTAAATAGAAGATGCACAAAAAAGTTACTGGACTATTACACACTGAAAGCTCAAGTTGTTTCTAAGTAAAAATGTGATCACACTGGAAAAGAAGAGTATATTCTCTTACTTCTTCATCTGCAGTTTTCTTTGTACAACTTTTTTTTTTTTTTTTAAAGAAAATGAAGATCTCAGCTGTACCAGCATTCCCCCAATATCACACCTACAGTGTGAATTTAAACTGGAGCCAGTGTTCAGAGTGACAATTAGAAGGAGACACCAAACCAGCTGGTAAGAGCAGACTACAGTCAGACTACAGTCCCACACCTGTCCAATCTAACAGAATAAAAGCTGGGTAACAGCTGTATCTACACAAGCAAGAGACAAAAACACCTATTGAAGCTAAAAAACTATTCATTACAAGAGCACTAAAAACTGTGCTACAGCGGGCACTGAAAAATTTTGAGAAAAAAGATGACAACTTTTAATTTCCAGGAAGATGGGGCTCCACAAACACCTTTTAACACAGGCAAAACAGGGAGGAGAGAAAGAACTAATTCAAACATGGTGATTGCACATGTTCCCTGTAATATAAATGGGGGTAGACCTTAAAGATTAAGGAGTTCCTTCAACATCCTAAGATCTAACAGCTTATACCTACAGTATCAGAAGGATCCAAAGCTGTTGGACAGTGCCCAGAGGAGGGACACGGAGCTGGGGAAGGCTCTGAGGAGCAGCTGAGGGCACTTGGCTCGTTCAGCTGGAGCAGAGGAGACTGAGGGGAGGCTCCTCGGTGGCTGCAGCTCCTCCTGAGGGGAGGCAGAGGGGCAGGGGCTGAGCTCTGCTCTGGGACAGGAGCCCAGGAAGGGCTGGAGCTGTGCCAGGGCTTGGGATGGAGCTCAGGGCAAGGTTCTTCCCCCCGAGGCTGCTGGCGCTGCCCAGGCTCCCCAGGGAATGGGCCCGGCCCCAAGGCTGCCAGAGCTCCAGGAGCGTTTGGCCAGCGCTCTCAGGGATGCTCAGGGTGGGCTTGTTGGGGGCTCTGGGCAGGGCCAGGGGTTAAACTCAATGATCGGGGTCCTTTCTGACTGAGAATATTCTGGGATTCTGTGATTCACAACTATGACTTCTTGCATGAGTGGGCAAGGCTGGAGAGACAAGAAAAATGACCAGATAGTTAAAAATGTCTTGGCTAGAAAGAGCTGAGGAATCAATAGCATGAGAGAAGAAGAGAAAAACAATCACTCTGGTGGCATTAAGGTACATACTCTGAACCATCCTTCTCTTAAAAACACATTTCAGTGACCAAAAGCTTTGCCCACAAGCTGGCCCTCACAGCACACCGGGCTCTGTTTGCACTTACTCAGAGAACTCCCCGCAGATCCAGGCAGCAGCATAGAGCACCTCACAGATGCCGTTCCTCTGGGTGTTGCTGGCGATGAGGTGGGCGTTGTCCAGCAGCATGGCCATCTGGGACACCGCAAACTTCCGGATGGCTTTCACTCTGATGGCCACATCCAACATCTGGGCTGCGATCAGGTGCCCGTGCCTCGTGCCCTCCAGCCGGGTCAGCTCCACCAGGATGCTTATGTACCTATGGGAAGGGATGGGTGGCTATCAGAGGGCAGTCCTACACTACCTTTGTGAAGAGCTCCAAGCTGGCAGCTGGAAGCACTGACCATTCAAAGTTTGTGATGTATTGATAATTGGACTGGCTGCAGATGTCTATGATTTTGGTCAGCAGCTCATCTCTGTACGTCGTCCCTTCGGCTTTATCCACGTGAATCATCAGTTTCTTCACAATCTCCATCAAGTTCTTCTTGGAGACCTGTTAAAGAGGTGGGTTCAACCAGTTTCCCACACAACCAACTCCTTCCAGTTCCAGTAAGCAGCTGCTGGCTCTTTGCTGGACCCATATCATGTTAACAAGAAACCAGAACCACCTCTGTGACCCCAATCCAAAAACAAACCTGTTTAATACTGTTCAATGTTTTTGTTAAAAAAGAGCCAACACAAATCACAAGGTGTTTAAGAAATGACTGGATGAGGCACTTAGTGCCATGGCCTGGCTGACAAGTGGTGTTCAAGGTCATAGGCTGGATTTGATGACCTCCAAGGCTTTTTCCAATCCAGCTGATTCTGTGATGACCTTGCTGTGGGAGAGCTGAGGATCAGAATTACTATCAGCAATACACAAATCCAAAAGAAAGTGAATCTTCTATTGCCAGATTAGAAACCTTAAGAGTTTAAATAATTTTTACTTATAAAGGAAACAAATTTAGAAGTAATTCACATCCAGTGGAATGGATTTCAAAATGAGTGATTTCTAACAGGGCCTGAACTGAGAAACTCCATCCAGTCTGAATGAGAACTTTTAAAGCCCTCATGCTGGGCCAGGTATTTTACTTGTCCTGAGGGCCAGAAAAGATATGGGAGCTGTTATCAAAACTCTGCTGTGGAGTGGGCAAAGAGAAAGTTGCAGGTTTTCCAAAACATCACCTGCCTAAAGAGTCAGAGGGGCTGCAGAGGAAATAAATGTAGGAACATACCATGCCATAGAGGAGATCTAAAGCTCTGAGTCGGATGGACTCATCTTTGTCATCCAAACATTGGAGAATGAGATCCTTGTGAGACTGAACTGACTTGGGGTGTGTTTTCAGGATTTTGGACATAGCTAACAGTCCCAGGTACTTCACTGTGAAAGACAAAATAAAACTTCTTTCCAAATATAGAAATACTGTTTTGTGCTGAGCATGAAATCTTAAAGCTGGTTTCAACAGAAGCACCTGGTATTGAAACCCTTAAACTAAAATCCATGATGAAGAAAAGCATTTTTGAGAATGGTGAATCACAGACTATGGTCTTTAATTTCATAATCCCATAGACAAACAAGTAATTACATATATAACCCTCATCAGGGTCTTATGCACCTCAAGTTCTAGCATTGATTTAAAAATATGTATTTAATAAACAGAAATGCTGGGGTTTTAGAACAGGCATCCTGAGGTGAACACAGCTTTAAAAGCAGAAGATTGGTGTGTAGCAGTCCTGCTCTCAAGGGGAAAAATTCAGATGGCAGGAAAAAGAGCTGCACAAAAGAAAAATTTCCCAGTATTCTTTGCAGTCACTAAAGTAAGTCAACACTCTTGCATTTTACACTTATGCTCACTCTGCTGAAAACAGCTGTCACTGCTTTCCAAGCAGCCAATCTATAAAAAGGGAAATCCCAGAGCATGGAAATAACTGTTTTAGATTTACAAGACCATAAACAGCAGTAATAATTATTGTCATTTGTTTTTAAAAATATTATTGTAAAGAAGTGCTCACCATCAAAAATTATTTCCATATTAAAGACCCCAGCAAATGTTTACAGCACACCAGGCACTACAACCCCTCTGAGGCTGCTGCAGCATCTCCCCAGTGCTTGGAGGCCAACAGCTCCATGAAGACAAGTACCATACTTACAGTTCTGGTCAGAATCTTCTATCAATATCCTCAACTTCTGCACACAAAGCTGGAAGAAAGACCACACCATGTTTATCACAGGTCTTAATTAAAGTAAGTCTTCATCAAGTTTACTCAATACACAAGGAAGTATCTGACCAAGACCTGAGGTGTCCAGGTGAGAGGGTTTTGTTACATTAACAGACTTCCAAACAAAAGTAACTTCTGTATGATCATACTGATAACAGGAGATGAATTTTTGAGTTGGAAAAACTCTCAAACTCTGCATTTTAGAGTAAATTAAGAAGGAGAATTTATACAGGAAATGCTTCAGTCTGCAGGATTGCACAGTGAGAGCACTTCAGGGAGCTACTGCTGTAACTTCTGGCAGAGGAACACAATCCCATTTTCCCCAGCCCTTGGGATCCCAGAGCAGAGCAGAACAATCCCCAAACGCAAGGTCCCACCTGGATGCTGGCGCTGTGGTTGGGCATCCCCGAGGACAGAGAGATCAGAACTGAAACAGAAGCACAAATTCCACTCAGTATTTCTGTGCTGGAAGTGACTGCAACATCAACACCCGACAGCCTGCACCTAGCTCAGCTCTCAAGGAAAGGTGCTGGATTATTGTTTGTCTGTTTGCCTGGACTTTTGGGGGTCTGGAAGGAGGAGAGAAGGTTGTGACATGAACTTATAGTTTCATATACCAAAACAGTAATAATAAAGAGGCCAGGAAAAAAAGTGTAAAGGTGGAAACAGCTGCAACAGCCAGGTCAAAGCTGCTTTTCTTTGCTCTCACTGAAGTTTATTTCACTGACATCAAGCAGCAGTCAAGGCTGTTAATGTCAGCAGCTACTGTACACCTGAATTTTTAATTAATGTGCACTTTCCTAATGCAATGGGATGCAGCAATGGATCCTGGAGTTTAATGTGATTAGATTGAAGCTTTGATCAAGCCAGCCATTGTTGACTATATGGGACACTTAAAAGCTCTGGCAGCACACAGCCCCACTATAAAAAAAGCTGGGCTTTACCCTGGTAACTGCTGCTGGCACAGCACAGCCAAGCCAAACCCAGCAGGTGCCACGTGCTGCCCTCTGTCCCTGCAGGGAAGCTCTGCTGGACACTGTCACCTCCAGAGCTGGCAGGTGCCAGGTGCTCCTCTTGTGTCTCAGGGCTTGTTTGCTGGCTCTGAGTCTGACATCACCATCCCCGAGGAGTCCTGGGTGGTGAATTCTCCCCCTACCCACAGGATGAACCCACTGGATCCCAGTGAAGGCCACTCTCACCCACAATCAGAATATTCTCTGTGTTATTTTCCCTCCCATCACGACACCTCATTTCCCTGAAGGGATGAAGGAATACACAGTGAGTGACAGATCTCTCTTCCCTCTCTGAACTGACCCAGCTCAGCAAGTTCTGCACATTATCCAAAGTACCCACAGGAGACAGACAGACCAACTGTGAATGTCAAGAACCCTCTGCTCCACACTCTGATAGGAAAAGTGCCAAGCCTGAGCTGCAATACTGTGTTATCCCTTTTTGCCTTTGTTTTCTCTAACACTCCAATTATGGAGTTCATATCTCTTCCCCAGAAACTGAAACTGCCAATCAGTAACTTCAATTGCCTCCTGTAAGGAACTACACCCCATTTTAAAACTGCAAAGTTGCAAAAGTTAAAAAAAAAAAAAAAGTCTGATCCATCATCACATAAGAAAACTTGGCAAAGAGACATCGCTCTTGTTTTAATTCTATTGCTGCTGGTATATTTTGTAGTTGTAGCAACAATTAGGATCTGGCATATAAATAATCTCATTGTCTGTACTTAGTTTCAGCCTTCAGCAAACACAACACAGCTGTAGTGATTGTTCCTCACCCACTGACAACAAAGGATTTCAGCCCCACAGTAACAAAATTTGCCAGGAGACTTATTGCATTATAAAATACATTAAAAGTTAAAGAAAAAGGGTTTACAGATGGTGTTAGTTGATGACAAAGTTCATCACATTTTTTTTCTAGGTTCCAAGTTTCAGTTCTCACCTGCTATTACTGTGTTCACACATTCATATAAGAGAGACATGGCTGAGGTGCTGAAACAGAAATCAAGTATATTAAATAAGGAATAAACCAGCACATTTTGAAGAGTTGTCAGCACTATCTTGGAGCTAGTTAGCACCTTGAACTTCACAAGACATTGTCAATATTCTGCTCTATATCCCTTCAAACAGATGAAATGATTCTCACTTAAAAATGGCTGGGGGGGAGGAATTTTTAAACAAATGTTTAAAAACCCAAAAATCTTCCTGGAAAAGCAGCAAGTAAGGGCACTGTGACACAAGGAATATGGAAGGAAGTGGTTACTCAAACTCCAGCACCAGTCACAAAATACTGAAGCAATCTTGTCCAAGAATCAAATTAAATCCTCTGCCCAAGGTCAAAAATTCATGACAAGGCAGATAAAGAAGCTCAAATCTCTCTCCAATTACGTGAGTCACACCCCAGCAGCAGAGGCTTGGGATGCAGGAACACACTTCCCACCCCTGGAAGACAGCAACCCATTTCCAGTGTCTGATTTCCCCCAAAACTCAAATTCAGTCAAGGCTGCTTGTGCCAGCCAGTGAATACAGAGACTGCAATTCTGAGGATTGCAGAAGTCCTTACAAAGCCTGATCTGTACGAAAGGGAAACAGGAACCTGCCAATCCCCAAAGGAGCAGGCTCCAAGTGCAGGGTACACAGGGAAGGAGCACAGCTCCAGAGGCAGCAGCACAGCGATGCCCTGAGGGTCAGCATGGGATGCTTAGAGCCAAGACCAACAATTCTGCTCCTTGGGCACTTGGTGGAACAGCTCAGGGTGCTGTGACTCATTATGAGGACCAAAATGACTGAAAGGAAACCAAGCCAAAGAGGATTCAGCCTTCACAGGTCAGAATTACTGATGTGAGAGTTGGGGAGAGGAGGTAGGATTGTCCATCTTCCTTTTTCTGGTGGGTTCTATCTATTTGTTACTGCTGACAACTCCCTGGAGGTACCTGGATGCTAGTCTGCTCTGAGCCTGCCTTAAAGCAATGTGAGGATGGACAGAAATCACCTGGCTAGAGCTGGTCTCAAGGCTACACAGATATCTGTTTAAAATCTTGCTCTGTCACAAGAAAAGAAACAAACTTTTTCACTCAACAGCTCCTGCATAAGATCACACTTCCTCTTCATAACTGGGAGAATCTATGTATTCCCTCCAAGGCATCTATTTCCTGATTTCAGTTCAGAATTAGAACCACTACAGTGCCACAAGCCAGCATTAACAAGGGACAAGGAAATAACTTCAACTTTATTTAATCTACATTTAGAACATATATATTATAAGAACCTCTTTCAAAACACATCTGAGCTGCCAAATGCATGACAAAGGGCTTTAATATATTCCCTGTCACGTTGCTTTGGTGGGTAAGGCACTTCGAAAAGTCAAGAATCTAATGTGTGAGGTGAACAGGAGAAGCAAATACACAGCTGAGCCTTTTTTAAGCCAGAGTTTTTATACATTCTCCACAGTCATCTCTGGCTTGAAATGCAGTGAAAGGAAAGCAAATTGCTCCAATTTTCATGCATCCTTTGGAGGAATTAATGCTGACAGTCAGACACCCAGAGACTTTCCTTTAAGGTATTTTACCTCACTCAGGTTTTTCAGAAAAAACCCTGATGTAAGATTATCTTTTGATACTTGAAGCCAATATACCAAAAGTCAAGGAAAAGCTTTAAAATGCATCCTCATCCCAGCTATTAACCCACCCACCAGGTCCTTTCCCAGTCCTGACTGAGCAAGGCAGAATCTGTCACACATACCTGTGGATGAGGTTGGTCAGGGGCTCAATCAATTTCTTTCCCAGTCTTGGTTCTAATGGAGTAAGAGCACCAAACTATTCAAAAAGAAAAGTGAGTTAATAGCTGCTTTTCAGCAGCTTCAAAACATTATGTAAATTACAGCTCACTGTATTTAAACCAAGATATATTAACATATTTTTCTCTTTGGTTACATTCACAAACATTAGAAGATATTCCTGGATTCTTTTTACTCAGACTGAATGGTAACTATGCCTCCCAGCAAGAAATCCATTTTCACACCCAAGGTAATTTAATGAGAACCCAGCCCTGTATACAAAAAGCAGAATACTTGCCAGTTTTATAATTTTAATGAGAACCCAATTATTGGTTGATGACGTCATCAACTTGAAGAAGAGCGGAGCAAGGGAAAGGTAATTTTTGGGATTGCGTCGAGCCAGCTCACAAATAACATTTACTGCAGCAGACTGCACACCTGGGGAAAAGAAGTGGGAGAAGCACAAATCCCATCAATGCCTTCATTGCAATTGAAGTTTCTGGTGCAGAACCCCCACAGCAAAAGCAGCTGAAGCTTCAAACCTGTGTGTTCAATGCTTTGGCCTCACTCCCAACCCTGAGGCAGTAAAGTAAATATGGGAATGCAAAAGCAAACTGAGAAAGGGTTTTATTTAATTCTGGCTATTTTCTAATATAGCAGCAAGCCAGATATCTGCTTTGGGTCCAGCATGACAAAAAACAGCAGGCTGTCACATCCCTGCCCTAGGCTGTGGAAAGGTGATTGTGGGACACAGACAACACAATAATCATCCACCAGAAAGTTTCCAATCACTCTTGACTTCTCTGATACGTATTACTTAAAAATGTTTAAATACAAACCAAAAATAACAATTCCTTAACTGATCTGACTGGACACATTCACTCCCTTCTCATTGCTCAGCCTCTTACATGGGTTGTTGTCAGTTTGGAATGTTTTAGTCTAGACAGGCTGGGTGTCCTAGCAGAGAGCAATCCTTCTCTCCACAAAGCATTACGGGCAATTTCTTCCTCTCTCTGCAGGTGAGGGATTTTGCTTTCTTTAATAACATTGTCCCTGGAAGATGAATATTCCATGCCCACAATAAAATAGTCCAGGAAATGCAATTAAATTTCTCCCTGTAATTGCAGATACAAATCAAGTGGAGATCAGATAAACATCGTACACAGAATTCCTAAAACAAGTGTTTTGGTGCAGTGAGGGAACACCAGCACCTCCTGAAGACTGAGCAAAAATATGAATACGATAGAGAACAATTGCAGATTTCCTGTGCTGCTGCTGACCTACACTGACACAGTACTGAGGGGCCCAAAGAGCAGTCTGGACTCAAATAAAAAATACACTAAAGACTGTTAAATCATTTTAAGTGTGTTTACTGCAAGTCAATAGCTGCAGCTTGCTAAAAAAGCACAAGAAATAAAAACAGAACCCCAAACCCTGAAATCAACTGAAATATTTTCAGTAACCAAGTTCAGTAAGCAACAAATCAGGAAATTTTAAGCTGCTTTGTCCATTAAGGTTTAACCCACTGATACATTTTCAGTAGCTTTGGGTTTGAAGAAATGGATATTTTAAAGAACATATTTTTAATTTGGCAACACCTGTCAAAACACCTCTCCTATGCTCACCTACCCTGAAAGAGGTGAGTCAGTGCCCAAAAGATGACAGCATTTTTCATGTATTCTTTTCTCCACAAGCTCTACAAGCACATGGGCCTCCATGTGTGGAAGCAGAAGGAATTCACTAAAATCCACTCACCAGGATCTGGATCTTCAAGTTTCTCTTTAAGGCGAGGAAATGCAGGACGGAGGGACTCTGGGTACTTCAAAAAAACTTTGTACATGATTAACACTGCCTTCTTCCTGATGTAAGGCTTTGTGTGAGACATCTGTTAATGAAACAACTGCAGTCAGGCTCTGAGCACATCTGTGTTTCCAGAGCTCCTATGCTCGCACTCCTGTCACTGAAATTCTTCCTGGGAGACTCAACTGCTTTTTGAGAACTCAGCTTATACAACAAATACTGTTGTTCATCACCAAAACTAATGAATATATTTCAAACTAATTCTCTTGATCTAAACTAAGGTCTTTAAAAGCTCCCCATAACCCCCACAATAATTAATCAGCAGTTTTCACATGTATCTGTTCAAAATTTAAGATATTTACCAGATTTGAATAACTTAATATTCTATAAAGTTATTTCAACCTTATCAACTCACCAATGTCATGATGTCATTTGCCAAGTCCCTGGCAAGATCTGGAGTAACAAAACAGGACAAGCCAGTCAGTGCAACTCCAGTATCATACTGGTTAGGGCTACTCAGATCCTAAAAAAAGAGAAACACGCTCAAAAACTTAAGATCACACAGGATGTCAAGAAACAACTTCCACAGACTAAATTTATTTATTCAACATAAATGAAGCAGAGCTTCTGCTTCATGGGAATATTTATATATCAACTACTAACACCTGCTAAAGTACAGCCAGCCTGGGGTTTAATAATGGGCAAAAGAAACCATAATTAAACAAGAGATGGATGACTGCAACATAAAAGCAATCAGAGAGATTGCACCTTGGGTGTTTTGGGAAATAGTTTTTAAACACTCATTACAGGATCACAAACATATTTAAAGTCCTAAAAAACTGGTATTAAACACTAACCCTGCTAAGTCAAATTCCATGTGCCATCAACTCCACCGGGAACAAGCACTCTTGGTGAGTGGTGTACCACCTTAATCTAGTGGAGAAATGAGATTATTCTTCTCCCAAGCTGCTGGCAGCACAACTTCCAGTCCACAAAGAGAGGACAAGTTATGTGTGTGGAACACATTCATTGGTCAAGTTTCCTTGGACCTATTGGTAGTCAGTATCCTACCCAGCTCTCCATCTTTCAGGTCTTTCTAAGCTTAAATCACTTAACCAAATCTCTGAGTATGTTCAAGTACAGGCTATAAATTGTGTATCAGGAAACACAAACATGGAGAAGCTGCACAGAGCATTCCCACATGGCCTGCTGAATTAAGAGTCCAGATTCACGTGGACACTGAAGCTGCTTCAGGAGAGCTAAACATAGTCAGGCCTTTGGGGTTCTGTGCCATTTGCATCTCATTTAAAAACCTGCTGCAGCTGGTGGGAAATTAGAGTCTACTGTAAGAATAATGCTATCTACTTCTTAAGGAGCAAAAAACTGCAATTCATCCTGGCTTTAATGTATTTTGAGAACTCATAAATCCTTCAAATCTCAAGTGGCTGGATCAATGAAATATGAAAAGCCATAAAGAAAGATGCTTTTAAGTAAAAACTTGGGCACAAGGTGGAAGTAGCCAGCGACTGAAATTCAGTAAAATAAAGTGTCCATAATAAAGACAATAGATATTCACATTCAGCACAGAATAGTTCAAAAGGTACAGGGAAAAACACTAGTTCTTTAAGCAAGATATTGGATAATATCCCACTGCTCTTTTTTAAGCAAGGAAAACACATTTTAGTTCCTCATATGGTAAAAATGTAGGCACATCTTGTACTGGATCAGTCAAATTTTAAAGCAGTGATACTTAAAAAATCAAACTTAAGAACTTGAAAAAAAAATCTGTAACTTCAAGAATGGGAGAACTATGCTACAAACCAGTAACTCTAAGTGATCAAGCTCTATGAAAATGAATACACATGTGGGTACATGAATACAGAACAAAACTTTCAATACAGTCTTCACCATTTTTAAACCCAGTTCTACCAGAGAAGTCAAAGTCTGATCTGGAATTACAGACAGAAAGAGCCCTCACAAGTAGAAATGTTGTGGAGCCACATCACTCCTGAGCCACTGCTCATTTTACTTCAGGAATAGGGACATTTTTCCTGCCTGCTACTTTCTTATAAGCACTGCCTAGAGACCAGCAAAGTTATTTCTGTCACCATTCTCTGTGCTAAACAAACATAGGGCTGGTATGAGACAGCACAGGGAAGGCTGTGCACAGCTCCTGAGTGTTTCATTAATCCCTCAGTTTGTGGAATGACAGGAGACTGCAAATCAAGAACTCTACTTAAATACTTCAATATTCCTAATGGAGAAATACTTGGTACAAATGTGAAACTAGAAGTAGGGAGAGAGTGCAAGAAAAAAATGAAGAACTGAACATTTACCTTTCGGATCTGATTAGTTGTCAACATAATGACATCAGTCCCTTCATGAAAGCACTGGGAGGCAGCCAGGTAACCAATGCGCTGGGAAAAGGCAAGGAGGAAAACAAGGTTTGTATTTAAAGTCAATTTAGACAATGTTTAGGTGGAAAACAACTGGTGGCTTGCTAAGCAATATTAAAAAGATGAACAAGTAGGTTTGTATAACAGAAGAGACATAAGAGGGTCCTCTAGAAAAGAGGTTTTATATCAAGAAAGAATAAATCCAGACTAGTAACATTCTACTGATAATTTATCTGTCTTAGGGGTAATAAAACCACCTTAACCTTCTCTGTATGTTCAGTGACCACAAAGCTGCAGAAATAAGGTAGGATTGTCTACTACATTAATTTTGTCTATGTTGGCTTCTGAGTTTCAGGTACAAAGCCCCATTTGGAAATCATTCCTTAGGAAGTAACATTCCACCCGTTTGGTGAAAAAGGTCTGCAACAGCACATGAAACAAATCTTTCAAGAAAAATTATAAAACCATAACAAAATAAAAAATGCCTGGTACTAGGAATCTCAGGTGGTTTTAACAAAAATACCTAGGCTTTTCACAAGAGGTATCTGACAGCTTGGCCAGGACAGCTGCATTTACAGAGAACTCACCTTGAATGTAAACTTGGAAGCACTCATAACTTCAATAATGTTGAAAGCAGCCCAACTGATGTCATAGCCCAGCATCTGTAACTGTGAGCAGAGAAGCCAAGATAAATTTCTGAAATAAGAGACTCAAGAAAATAGGTCAAAACACCCCCCAAAATTGAAGATACAACAGGAGTCTGAAAATGATACTGTAAGATATCACAGGTTTATGAGCAATATTACACCACACCACTCACATTAAGTGAAAGATATCAAGTTTTAAATAGTTATTAGCTCCAGGTTGTCCAGAGCAGCTGTGGCTACCCCTAGATCCCTGGAAGTGTCCAAGGCCAGGCTGGATGGGGCTTGGAGTGGCCTGGGATAGTGGCAGGTGTTCCCACCCATGGCAGGAGGTGGCAGTGGATGAGCTTTAAGGTCTCTTCAAATCCAAATCATTCTGTGATTCTATGATATGCAGTTACATAAGCATTGGTGTGAAGGGTTTTCTTTCTGATTTTTTTTTAATAAAAACCGTAACAGAACCACAAAAAATTACCATTATTTCTGTCTTCTCCTTGTCAACAAAGGACTAAGCAAAGAGAAACAAACACAGTTTCAAGTGCTCATGTTACTATAACATAAGAACCAATCCAGTTGAAAACAATTTCTTTTAACTTTTATCTTGTTTGTTTTAAATGAGATTCCCTTCCTGACCCATCACAATAAAATCCAATTGTACCAAACAGAGCAGGAATGTGCAGCCTCTGATGTCAGAGCTGGGGAAGCGTTGTCCTCACAGCCCGCACTTAGAGCGGTCTAGGGAGAGCAGACACCCAGACTCGAGGCTGGCTCCAAATCAGCAGGAAAGAACAAAATCCAGCTGCAATTCCATGGGATCCCAGCATGGCACTTACATAGGTCAGTTTGCAGACTGCATTTGCCTTCACTGCGATGTTGTCCTGCTTCAGCTCCTGCTTGATCTCATCGATGCATTGTGAGATGTATTTTGCCTGAGGAAAACAAACAAAAATTTGAGCTGCTTTACAGTTTCTCACATTTCCAGCATGTTGGTGGGGAGAAGCAGCAGAACTCCACCTTTGCAAGCACCAATCTCACACACACACACTACTTAATAAGCACTTAATGCTGACAAAATTACTTGTTAAAAAGAACCACCACAATTCCATTAAAAAACCAAAAGTATGGAATGTTTCTTTGATGGTTGTCCCTTCTGCCTCTCCTTCACAATTACACCATTCACTCCAACGCTCTAGATTCAAAAATCTGCAAACATGAAGTTGTTCAATGGAGACTGAGTAGGCAGAGGTCTGAACAAAACCAGAGTTCACCACTGCTAGAAAGCTCACTGCCCCCAGAGGGATGTCAGAGAACACCCGCCCATTACACCACAAGAAGAAACTGTCAAACCCTGGTAACAGCCCACAAATTAAAGGTGACTGATGAAAACATGCTGAGCTACCCCACTTTTGGATATGCTGCCAATGATGACACTGTGGGTGTGCACCCACACCACTTCCCGTGCCTGCAGGGGCACAGCACAAGGCTTGGATGGGACACAGGTGCTTCAAGGATCCCCCCAGCCATGGAAAGTCATGAACCCCCTCGCTGGTTCTAAACTAACATGAGCTCTCCCTTTTGCCATTTACACATTTTGATAAATAATAGTTATTTGTATGAATTTCTCAGCAACTCAAAGAGCCAAATGTCACAATGTTTACATTTAAATATTGGTGCTTCACATCTTTCCAAGCAATCACATCTGTGCTTGTGGGAAGGATGTGGCAAACATGTGATTTAAAATTATCTGTACAGATTTTAATTTATAAGCAGAATTTGCTCAGCCAAAGATTCTTCCAGTTCACAATTAATTATTATTTAAGTACTGAAGGCATCTGCTACAGGAATCATGAAAATTTAAATGCAAAGAAATAATCTCTCTTTTCAAAGCCATGTATGCACCAGGGTATTTCACATTTTTAACTGCCAGAGGAACCAGGTCAGAACCTGATTACCTAATCCCTGCCTGAATACCATCACCTTCCTCCAAAATTATATTTTCATCGTAGAAATCTACTGGCCTGACTTTAATCAACATTTTTTTTTCCCTTTACACTAATTTTTGTGTATTAATACAACCATTTTTTAGTCTTTTCAAATGTCCTGGAGTAACACTCACTATTCAAGACACAAAAGTTTGCTACTAGAATCAGTAGGTAGAGAATGGATGGAAGGAATCCCTGGAGAGAAGGACTTGGGCTGTTGGTGGGTGAGAGGCTCAACCTGCCCCGGCCACGGGCACTGACCCCAGGAACCCCCCTGTGCTGGGCTGAGCCCCCAGCGTGGGCAGCAGGGGAGGGGGGATTCTGCCCCTCTGCCCCTGTGCTCAGGTGAGACCCCACCTGCAGAGCTGCCCCAGCCCTGGGGAACAACATCAGGAGGACGTGGAGCTGCTGGAGCCAGTCCAGAGGAGGCCACGGAGCTGCTCCAAGGGCTGGAGTCCCTCTGCTCTGGAGCCAGGCTGGGAGAGCTGGGGGTGTTTAGCATACAAATGAAAGAACTTGAAGAATTTTAAGATATTCCTAAATGCCTGTGTTTGGGATAGAAATACTATCCTTACAGTGGGAATTCTCATGTTAAGGGAGGGCACTGTAAACACCAAACAACCCTATCCTGTACACAGATCCCTTCTGTTCTCCTGGATGCAGGGGAATGGATTGCATCTGCCATAACTGGAGATGGCATCACCCCCAAACACTTAACAAGATAGTGACCAGGTGACTTTATCCAGAAGCAGATTTGGGAATCTAAACCCTTCACCCGAGAGTGATTCAAGTCCTGAAGTTTAAATTCTCGAGTTTATACTTGAGTATAAACTAAATAAACCTTCCGAGGGTAGAAAATAAATACTTCATCAAAGATGCTGAAAGAGTGACTTACACAACATGCAACTGATCCACAAATATATTGTACTTAGCCTTGAATATTTTATGCCCACAGAAGAGCACGCTGGAACAGTGTCACAGAATCCTTCAGTGTGTATCTTGTTGCCACATCCTGGGCAAAGAGGCCAGAGATGGTTCTCAAGGCAGAAAAAAACTGACACACAGATTCTCAGTGTTCACATCCATAAGCAAGAGCCTCACTTATCTCCCTCCCACTGCACCTATCCCCAAACTATTCAAACATTAGATTAAGCTTCCTGGCAACCTCTTCGGAGTTGAGCATAACCCACTGTGTGAGCAGGAGGGGAGAAAAGATGGAGTACAGTTCCCTGTACTGTTCAACAGTGCCCAGCCCAGCACAGCCGAACACAGGCTCCAAAGTCACCAGCCCAAACATCCCACAGGCAAATCCCTGCCTACCAGTTAGTCCAGCTTCTGGAAAAACATATTACAGAACTCAGAATCAGATCTGCAACTGAAAATAAAAGGGATTAGAGACAGCAGAAAGAAGTCCTTCCAAAACAGCTGCACTTCAAATCCCAAAACACTCCAAGGAATGACAGGCACTATATATAGAAAGCTTTACAGGATCAGCAGGTATTAACTTTTTGTTAATCCTGTGGAGCGGCACCACCATGAATGAGCAATATGAGGAAAACGGATCTATTCAGTCTTCCTCTGCAATCTGAAAGCCAAGCACCACACCCAGCTGGATCCGCTGCCACATTTCACACCCACAGACCTGGGAGGGAACCCGGAGGCGGGAGCGGATCCTTAGCAAGGCTCTGGCTCGGGGAACGCTGCTGACCTGGGCACGCACAGGACCTGCAGGTCCTGCACCAAAGCACTTCCCAGTGAGCGATACTCACAGCCCCCACTGAGCTGCTCCGTGAGGGTCACACCAGACAGCAAAAGGGAGAACAACCACTTGATACAATGAAAAGAATTGTAGTCACTCTGTGAGGCCTAAACATTTGGAAGAAAAAAAACAAAACAAAACCACATTTACATACTGACACAGCAAAAAATCTGGATACCTTGCCCAATCATGTTTTTGCATGAATCCTTCGAATATAGGAATTTCCTAGTGTGGTAATTAAAAATAAATATTTCCCAGGATATAACTAGCTCAGTTTTTCCTTAAATGCTATTGAGATCCCATGAATCACAGAATCATTAAGGTTGGAAAAGTCCTCTAGGATCAACAAGTTCAACAGTTGCTAATCCAGCACTGCCATGTTCATCATTAAAACATGTCCCCAAATGCCACATCCACATGTTTTCTTGAACACTTCCAGGGATGGTGACTCCACCACTGCTCTGGGCAGCCCTTCCAATGCCTGGCCACCTTTTCTATAAAGCAATTTTAACCAATATCCAATCTAAACCTTCTCAGGCACAACTTAAAGTCATTTCCTCCTGTCCTGTCCATCCCCTGGGAGCAGAACCCGACCCAAACCTGGCTGTCCCCACCTGTCAGGGAATTGTGCAGAGCCAGAAGGTCCCCCCTGAGCCTCCTCTTCTCCAGGCTGAGCCCCCCTCAGCTCCCTCAGCTCCTCCTGGGGCTCCAGACCCTTCCCCAGCTCCCTATCACACTTGTGCTCTAGTCCCTGCTCCGGACACACTCCAGCCCCTCGATGTCTTTCTTATCATGAGGGGCTCAAACCTGACACCAGAATTCAGGATGGGGCCTCAGCAGTGCCCAGAGTTCACTTATGCTCCCAGTATTCATTACAATATCAATATATTTCTTAGCTATTAATTCCTTACTAATTCTGTGACAGTATAATTTGCAGTTTTGTGCTGATGGCTCACACATTCTGGCCAGTTGACTGAGGAGCATTTCTAAGCTCCAGCATTTCCAGATGTGTGGACACAGCCAGTCAGATGGCCCTGAGGGAGGCAGCAATGCTCGGGCAGGGTGGTGAGGACAGACAGAGATCCATGAGGCACAGGAACCCCGCAGGAGGAAGGGTGGGAGCAGGGGCAGAGCTCCCTGCCAGCAGCAGAGCTGAAGACTCAGAGCAGCAGGCAACGGGCTGAGGCTCTCTTTTATTCCTGCTAGGCTGCCAAGTGGGAAAGGAGTCTTCTCTGCCAAGGTGGAAAAGGCTCCTTAATGAAATGCTACAGCAACCACTCTGGTAATTGTTCTGTCTCCCAAGGAGCATTACAGGAACACACCCGGAGGAGAACAGCTAGAACCCAAGCCTGCAGATGTGAGCAGTGAGTACTCAACAAAGCTGTGAGAACAGCACAGTCACAACTGCATTTCTCAAAGTATGTCACCAACGAGATGCTGGAATATTTTATATCCATTAACAAAATATACAAGCTGTTTTTTTAAACAAGCCCAAATTCCTCAAGAATTCCAAGATCACACCTAGAAAATATGTGCATTTAAATGAATGTGAGTGGTTAAAATAAGAAAGAAGGCATCATGAATCAGAGACACAGTCCCTTTGAAATGGAAGGGGGAAGGGGAGAGTGGGTCATGGTATAAAGCCAAAAAAGTCATTTTATACAATTTTTAATTTCCCAGCCATGTTTTTTGACTTAACTTTGAAAAACACTAAAGCTTTATTCCAAGCCAAGACAGAACTTGGGGTTTGCTTACAATTCCAGAGATGCTCACAAAAGACTTATCTTTCTCAAGCCAGCAGTATGCAAAGTTAAAAAAAAAAAAAAAAAAATCACTAATCTGTACAACAATTACATTCCTAAGAAATGTGATTCTCCATGCTGTACTTTTTTTTATTACCTGCCAGGAGTACACTAATGATTGGGATGGAGATAATTGCAGAACCTTTATATTAAATTTCATCATGTAACTACTCATTTCCAGTAGTCTTTAAGAAGCTATATTTTCATCTCAGCCATAAACCACCTTCTAAATCCAAGAGAAGGCAAACTCACATTCCTACCACTTTGGGTTGCAGCCCAGCAAACCAAATGCACTTGATTTGAGATTCAAACCTGCCACTGCAACACCCAGAAGAAAGAGCAAAATATCAGTGAACATTAGTTCCTATTTCTCTTGCACTTCCAGG